TTCCGATGCTCATTAGATCTGTTCTAAAGCTTATTTAGACTAACCAGAATGACATATAGTAATGATTTTCCTGGTTCCATTTTTGTCCATTAGAGTTAATCCTTACCCATGTGCTAATATCAGAAGAAAAACACAACAAGAAAAAAAAATCTTAGGAATACTAACTCTCATTACTAAGCTGGACTTTCTTTCCCGCTAAAGCCAAGAAGCAATATTTAACACTGGCAATTGGAACAATTATGCAAGATTAAACATTAAACAAAATAAACAGAAAGCTCACTAAAAGATGTATCACATCTTCTGCTGCAAAAATTGCTTTAGTTTGGTTTTTTTTTTTTTTTGCAAGTTTAACTTGTGTAAACTGTAGGTATATAAAATCTCTCTGCCAAGGATCACTAAATATAGAAGATAGGCTTACATTAGGTCCAAAAGAAGTGCAACAACTAGCTCAAACCTCCCTGTCAAAACTGGTCCCCTTGCAGGTTTTCATGAACAGACTATTTAAATTCTCTATTTTTCATAAATTGTTAGGTGCAGTTTCTTCTTGTCAAGCTGAGGCTGTCATTTGGTAAGTAGCTAAGCTAGCATTGCCACCAAAAATGCTGCAAAATAACTAAGGATATGTTATTTTTCAACAGAATCGGCGCTCTTTAATTCAATCAAGATTACAGTGGCACACGCTAGATTTCAGTTGGCTTAATCTTACTAATTAATAAAAATTTGAGTAGTGTTCAGTGAAATGTATTTTGTGAATAATACTGGATCTTACTCCTTCATTTTAGGGAATAAAAAACATGGAAAACAATGAGATAGATTAACTAACTCCACATTGGACATTTTTTCCTTGGTTTTGGTGAGACGCTGTCCTATTTCAATGTAGACTGACTTGGGCTTTTTTTAGATTCCTTCAGCCAGCTATCAGTTTGACACTTGATCAAGTCCCCCACCTCCTCTTCAGATAATCTCCTACCCAAGTTTTGACTCTTGCTCTTCTATAAAATTGCCCAATTCATCAGTTTTTTTGGCAAAAAAGCAGTGGGAGAAAAGCTGCTTCTCTGGTGCACTTCCCTTTGTTTTAAAAATCAAAATACCACCAGAGTCTGCTGGATAACAAAGAACTCAAGGTAGCAAGGGTAAAATAAGGTATCTCATTATATACTCAGCCACCAGCCTCAGGAGCTTCAACGAAGAAGAGCAGAAGCTTCCTATGGCTGTCAATCACTCTTTTACATGAAAATGAGCACAGTCAGATATTTATAAAAAACTTTCCCTGGCACTATGTTTCTGCCTAGCCAGCATCAGCTTCCAAAGAAACAACACAGGAACTGCCACTAACTAACAGTGCAATGGTTAATGCAATAATCCTTTTCTACTGTGAGGGTTAGCTAAAAGCCAAAAGCAGACAACTCTGCCTGATAAAAGTATGGGCTGAAACCAGAGGAGACCCCATATTTCTGCTGCAGGCTGCAGAGCAGTGTTGGGCTGCAGAATAAGGAATGGGAAGTTGTATCCATTTTCTTCCCCACTCTTTCCTCTATACCTTTCTGAGACTAACCTTTTGATGTCTATGTATTTTCCTGCAGCTGAAGATTTGGACTTGACCTCTCCTGAAGGATGCTTGCTCTTCTGAGATGTTCTGGAAGAAGACTCCCTTTCCTTCTGAGGAATTGTAGTAATTCTTGGCACTAAATGCTTCCCAGATGCAGATAAAGTGCAATTTCCCATTCCATAAAGCCTGCTCAGTGGGGGCCCATTCTCCATTCCCTCCTACCACTGTGAGTATTTCTCCATTCAGACTCTCTGAGACAATTATGTTATTTCTGTAACCTCAGGGAGAGCCAAAGTGGTAAACTACCTTTCTGGAAAGATTTTACAGCTCTTCAGCTACATTCAGAATTGTATGAAGTACCTAAAAGCCACAGGCCAAGAGAAAAGCTCTTTCAAATAGCCTTGGCCTAAATGCCTAGAAATGCAAGACATTTATACGAAATCAGTGTTCGAGAAAATAAACACCTACAAGGACCTCTATGAAGAAGGGTCTTACCTGGACTGGAAGTAAGGGTCCCATGCACTGTGCCCAGACTTGCACAGGTGGTAGAATGAAGCCATGAGGCTCCTTGAAGCCCGAAGAGCAAGTATCAAGTGTTGCCAGATCTCAGAGCCACCTCCCAGGCGGGCGAAAGAGGGTACCACATGCCAGAGACCATTGCTGGCAGGCTGCTACATGTTGCCAGCCCTTTTTGTGCAAGAAGCAGAGGCCATAAAAAAGTACAGATGTGCCATACCACTTGTCCTACGGGCCAAGTGTGTTTAGCATAGCACAGCCACAGAAGCCATCTGCACAGCATCCCAATAGTGAATCAACTGGAGAGTAGGATTAATGCCTTCAAAGACAAAACAGAGCACATTTTCCATGTGACAGTAAATAAATCAGGAGTATGTGCTTGTATTTTGGAGAAGTAGTTATTTAACTGAAGCGACTAACGTGAGTAATTGATACACATGCCTTCACAGATAATTCACAAAAATATTTTTCAAAAAATCTATCATTAATTTTGAAATGTTTGGCATGTGGATAAGCAGGTTCCCAGACTGGGCAGAGATGTGTGCACCCCAGAAAACTGGAGAGGGCCCAAGGGATGTAGTTGGTTTATTTTGCAGTTCATTCTAAATAGACTTTTTTATAATTCATCGTTCTCAAAGAATGCGACCTTCTATTATTCATATTGATACTTACAAAAATGTGTAATTCTGGTCAGGATTTAAAGGGTTTATTAAATTTTCACCCTAGCTTGCTAAATCAAAGAGAAGCTGGGCATGGTGACTCTACAGATGGTTTACCTCTGCTTCCAGAAAGCTAAGGTTTTCCAGCCAGGATGAGATTTTTATAGCAGAAACTATTTGTCTTTTCACGTTCCAAGTGGTCACAAGAACAACAGTTCTGCACTGGAATGACTGTGGGTTTGGACAAACAGCAGTTTGTCTACATTTTTATGCCATGCCTGTCCTAGACCACTAGATTATCTATCAACTTAGTTCATGGACAATCAGAAATACAAGTTAGCGGTTGGCAGAGCAAAGACAGGAGGTGAAATTCAGAAGTTTCCAACCGTGATTTTTCATTACTTGTTAGCTAGAACAGCTGTTCAAGCCAGGGATCACTGGATCTTGTCCAGCACTATGCTCATTTGTATTGGTTTCTTTCATTAAGATAAGTTATCAGTCTGGAAAACTGGGCCCCAAGAAAATTCTCTGGATGCTGCAAAGCTAATCCAATGCACCACCTCTTCAGCAAGCCAGCAGTTTGGGGTGTACTGAGACATTGCTAGATTTCTCTAATCCCTATCTATTGCACAGATACTGCAGTGTTGTCGTGCCATTCTAGGTATTCTACCCCAAACTAAAATCAGCCCTGAGAGAGAATCCTGGTGCATATTAGATTTAAGTTGGCCAAGAAAATAGACTAATCAAAAGTCATCTTTACTTTCAGATCTTGCCCCAAAAATAAAGCTCAGTTGTGCTGACGGATCAGGTCCACCGGACACAAGATGTTCTAAAAATCAGTTTGGATGGTTTTACACACATTTCATCTGGTTTGAACAGAAAAAGGAAAGGCATATGCAGGTAAATCTTTCACTGTTTAAATTCAAGGAAATTTTTGGAAGACTATATCACAAAAGGGCAGTAACTCCTTCCATGATATATCCACATGCCAGTGAAGTTTATCTCAGAGAATTATTGTGCAGGTCCTTGTATCGTATTGATCTGCTAGTTCCTCTGCTTGGCCCAAAAATAGCCTATTTTCCCTGGTGCAAACGGCTTCATTCTCAACTTGCTTTAACTTGCAGGCTTTAGAGGCGGCAACATCAGCTTACCTTAGGTTTCATGAACACAGTCTTTCACAGCCTGCAGCAGATCTTCCTACAGAAATCAAAAAGCCCTCAACTGTAGCTGCATAGCTGTCTATAGTAGCTTAAGGCCTACTTTCATTTGGATTGCGTTCATCTACTATTTTCAGAATAAAAGGAAGGCCAAATAAAATTTTCTTTGATAATATTGCCTTCTTCATTGCCTGATTAGTTCAATTTTATATGCCCTTAACTCACCTACAACCCATATTTGTCAATGCTTTTCAGCACTCATGTCTACATTAAGGAACCTACAACATAACGATGGCTTGACAGCAATCTGGCTTAACTGGGATTAATGAAACCTAGAGAAATCTGAGCAAAAAAATATACTTTTTTTGACTTTCAAAATTATAGTTACATTAAGGTAAATTTTTTGGTTAGCAAACTAGATCAACAATGGCAGTGTGCAATCAACAGCTTTATTTTCTCCATTAGTCAAAATAACAGTTCCAAAACACAAACAATCAGAAAATCAATTAATAAATTAATTGCTCTTCAGGAATATTTAGAAGTCATAACTACCCAAAATGCAGCCTGATCTTTCATATTATCAATAATTCACACAGTTGATACTTAAGCAAGAGAAGAACTCTTCTCCCCTCTCACACACTTCAGATATTTCCTAGAGGAAGGTCAAAAATTCTTCTGCCTCTCAAAATAGAGGATTTTTGTCAAGTGGATTACATTTGCTGTACACACACAGACACACACAGTCAAGTCTGATGACTTCTTTCAATTTTTGTTTTAACATTTTGAATAAAAAAAGCCAACCTGACCAAGTCATAAACACTAACTTCATCCTAAAAGAACTCACCTTCCTTGTTTTTTCTACTAGGGAGAAAAATCCCAATTCCGTGCATAACTTAGCCACTCTGAATTCTTCACTAGGAAAGCCTGTTTTTCTCCGTTTGCTGTAGAGAAATATATTTAAAAGTTGAATTGACATTTGTTGTTGTTTTGCATTGATCTGTTTTTTAATTAAAACTGCCCAAGATTTTCAAAGAATTTTAAAAGGAAGCTTTTTCACCCAAAAACAAGTGCCGGGAAAAGATTTTTATTTTTCTACTGTTCTTCTATTGTCATCTGAAGAACAGTAGGAGAAAATAAGTGGCTTTCTCAGGCAACTTGAACCACAAAGAAGGACTTCCAGTATGTTAAAGCACCAACACAGACTGCACGCTAAAAGCCTCATCAATTATAGTTCAGTTTGCAAGTCTTTGCTAACGATAGCTATGATAGATCTAAAACACAGAGGAATTTTTGGTATCTAGAATGCTCAATCTGACTGAAGTGAGCGATGGAAACTAAATCTATTTGCTTGTCCAGTACTCTCCCCCAGAGGTTTCAGCTTGGGAAGAATCTTTGTTGGCCTATCCCTCCTAGAAAGCCATAAAAGCACCATAAAACACATCAATCTGTCCATCACCCCCCACTACATTTTGGCACGTACCCGAGTTTCAGAATTGCTTGGTGGGACAGATGGAGACAGCAATATTGGACAATTTTTCCTCTCAATGAAAATTAAAGATAGTAGTAATAAAATAACAATCTTAATAATAATTCCATACAAAAAAGTTCTGAGAATATTGTTTGATTTGCCAGATTCAGTCCTTGAATATCAAAAATGCCAAAATTAAGATGATCTACCTAATGTCCAGGTAGACCTCCTGGGCACCATACCTATGTGTTTCATAACACAATCGAATTCTCCTCAGGATGCCTGCTTTACTTGGTGAAGGTCTGTTGTTGAAGGTCTGTGTGGGAAAAGCTTTATCTGTCTCTGAAAAAAGCAAAATAAGACACAAGTGTTCCTTAGGCAGTCTAAGTTCCAGACAGAGAGCTAAATTTCTCATGAAACAATACATTCAAGACAGAATAAACCAAATCCCCAATCCTGCAATTGGTTGCAATCCTACAAGTGATCCTACAAGTGATTCTAGGAAAAGGAGTAATAGGAAATAATTGGGGAGACAGAGCAGAGGCATTTCTCTATCCAAAATTTCACCTCACTTGCTTTGAATTAAAAATATGTGATTTTATCCTGCCAATATCCCTGTAAGCCTAAATAGAATGACAGTAATCAAAGATCAGAATTATATACAGATCACTATTGTTCTTATGAGTAATCAAACACCATCAGGAAAATCTGAGAAGAATAAAATCTAATTAAAAGAGTAAAAATAAATTCAGTTTAGGAAATACTTCAAAATAAATTCTTATTTTAGATACAAAAATGTTAGTGCTACAGATTTCATAAAAATAGTAAATTCACACATTAATACATAGGCAGCCAACATATTATTTGCAGAAAATGGGAAAGCACATTCATAAAACCACTATATTTTAACTAACTAAGAACACTATTTGCATGACCATTACATTCGCATTCTAAAGATGATGTCTAAAAACTAGACACCTTTTTTTTTTGTAAGCTGTGCCTCTCACTGCACAGGAGCTTAAGTGGTAATTATGAATCTAAGGCTCTGCTGTGGAAGCAGTTTAACCCCAGATCTTTTTTACTGAAGTGGGACTGGTCGTACAGTTAACACATGAAAAGGAAACGGAAATGCAAGGGGTACAGAAAAAAATAGATGCAGGAAAATGAAACTAGTGACATCCAATCACATTTTCTTCTCATAAATTCATTATTTATAAGATGCTATAGCTTCATTTCTGATATTTCAATTTTTTTAGTAAACAAAATATTTCCCCAGACATTAACTCTAAGTTGTGATTATGTGAGTTTTTTTATTATTATTTTGTGTTCCCTTTAATTATAATAATATGAAAATCAGGTATCTTTATAGTGTTTCTGGGCATCCAGTAATGAAGAAATACCATCTATAATTAAAACAGAATTATCCTATTCTGAGGTGCACAGTGAATTCCCATCATTTCCCCGAGCGTAAGTGTCTTTAAAAACATCCTTATGTAAACAGTAAAGCTAGCCAAGGATACAATTTCACTGGTATTTGGTCTAAGGAGGAGGTAATAAATCATCAGTAAATCTCCAAGGGCTTGTAGCATTTAAGTATTGGAATTCTGTGTATTTAAAGCTTTCAAAATTGTAACATAACTTTCTATTATAGCTTTATGAAATTCTCCTTTTTTAGACGGGTTTCCCTTCACCTTTCTTCAAGGAGGAGAAAGTAATAAGGCAACATGAAAGAAATGCACACAATAGTTTTAACCAACAGATCTTTACAACCATGGCGTTCAAGACAAACTGAAAAGAAGGAAACAAAAAACAAAGCAAAAATAAGGAGCATCTTTCATTCCAGTCCAGCAGGATGCATCAAGACTGTGGGCTATACATTAATGTATACTAAGGGTAAAACCCTGCTATAGAAAGGGGCATCCCTGTGCGGAGAGAGCCCGCTCAGCATTTGCAGGACTTAAGTGTTTCATTTCTGGAGCACTTCTCTTCTGTGAGAAGGGACCCACAGGCAGCATCTGTCTCCAGTGGGGAGAGCTTCCCACCTGCAATTGCCCAACAGTGGCAGACTGGGGGAGAAAATAAAATATCTTAGGCAGCGAAACACCGAAGAAGGGATCTGACCTGTGCAACACACATAGGCTGCTGGCACGTGTTGCATCTGCTGGGATGGACCAGGCTGCCCACCTGGGTATTTGCTTCTGCTGCAAAGCTGCAGCTGTGCTCTGAGGCTGAGGCACTACCAGGATCAGTCCATTTGTCAATATGGAGCCAGCATTACCCCATTATATATGATACATCTCCAGCCTAGAGACATCCTTGGCTCTCCACTGTAGGCAGAGATGAAAGCTCAGGATACCTCAGGAAAATATTGTCAGAAGGAAATTTTCTTAGATCGTTACTAAAAGAACAAACGATCAGGAGAACAACCACAATGTTATACAACTGCAGGCCCAGAGAAGACATAGAGCCAAGAACCCAAAAGTGACCAAGAGTCACTTGCCTGTACTGTGAACTGCTGAAGACATTACCCTAAATCCATGTAGGATTAATCTATGCACCCATTTGCTCCCTTCCAGATCAACCAGACAGTTATCAGCACAAGCAAGTATATGACTCTCTGGTCTCATTTTGTTTATTTTCCCCTAACTTGAGGAATCTCAAAATGGTACAGTTGCAGAGAGGATCAAAACAGCATTACCTCAGTCAGTACAGCAAATTGAAAACAAAATATCCACAGTCAGCCCTTGTCCTGCCCCAAAAGCCCAAGGAAACAGTTTTAGGCACAGCTGACAGGCTAACCCACAAGCCTATTTGTTATTCAAGGATAAGTAACCTCTCTTCCTCTGAGTTTGACCATGATTTGCAGGTTGAACTTTAGAAGCCTTTAGGGGTAAGTATTGATTAAACTATTCTATTTTACACGCATACACTCACAAACGGTTTGGTTGACATTTTCTGACCCAACTGAAAAAAAAGTTCAAAAGTTTGACCAGTCCAGCTTTCTCTGCAAATTAAAAACTTAGCAGTCTTTCATTACCTTTAAACAATCTGTCTCATCAGGATTAACACCGTACTGATGACGTTTTAGGAGCGACTTCCTTGGTGGGTTTAAACACTTATTTGGATGGGTGGAAAAAGGCTGTTTTTTTTTTTTTTTTTTGAGAGACATTTTGATATAGGAGAGCTGCCTTTACAGTCTGGTAAACCAGAGACACAACAAGGACTTTAATTTAAGCTTTCAAAGCCTCTGCACAATTTTGAGATATAAAAGATCATGCCCTTTTTTCTGCAGATTCATTTTAGAGGAATGATTTTTTTTGCTGCCAGGACAGAGGGTCTCAAAGGGAGAAACTAGAGCTTTATTCATCGATTACCTCATTGTCCAGACATGACTCAGAGAATTTAGAAACAAGCCTACCTCTTTATCTTCTTATTTTTGATCCTTGTAAAAGTGATTCTATAGAGAACATGGACTATGCTGCTCTGTTAAGACAACCACACGGCCAATCGTGGAAGCTCTGTTTGCTACAAGGTTGTGATGACTCTTGCTTTTTAAGTCACAAAATTGAAGATAGAGACTCATCTGGAGATCTGAACACAACCTGCTTTTCAGCCATTCTCCCACATCTTCGTTTTTCACCAACACTAAAATAGTTACAAAAGAAAGGGTCTGTGATGATGCTGTCACTGAGGCAGAAGAGCCTCTGTCACCAAGATGTCCATTAGGGTAGGAAACAACAGTCACAAGGTAAGATAGAAGTACTGCAGACAATGAACATATAAATGTACAAAATCTCACCTACTTTAAATTAAACACAAGTATTCATCACCAAAAAAAAATTGATTAGGGTGAGAGGACATGAGACATGCCACAGCAGGCTGAGGACAGGAGAGTTTGTTGGAATTTTTTGATATTGTGTCAGAGTGCTAGGAAGGTGGATGAACTGGGAAGGGGGTAAAGTTTCTGAGCACAGACAGAGGAATCCAGGGTAGAAATGGCTTTCCAGAAACCACTATTTAACACCTAAGCTCAAGTGGCACCTTTCTATTTCAATTCACCTTTCTCATCAGCCATATCCTAGAGCTGCTTAGCATAGCAGTCTCGGTGGCAGTGAACAAGGGCTTGCTTACCTAGGAAAGCCATTGTTAAGAAAAGGAAAAAAATTCAAGGGTGAACTGAAAGTGTGTTAAGTAATCAGTACCCAGCCCCTGCCCGGCCAATGCCAGCACTCTGGTTTCACACGCAAATGGCACCTTTTTTCACTTTAGTTGAACACAGATAACTTTGAAAAGGTTATTGAAGAGTAACTACTGTAGACCATTGCCATGTGGTCACATCCTTCAACAATAAGCTGCTGCTGTCTTACAGGAGGAAATCCTGAAACGATGTACAGCCCAGCACACCTGCCAAAGTTTCCTCCATCCAACTGTCATAGAGAAGAACATGTAAAAGGCGTGCCCAGCATCAGTATTCCTCAGTTTTCTTGAAACTGAAGAACCACCGGATTGCTCTAACAATAATTCAGATGCCATCCTGTGCTCTGATGGTATGGTGGTTTTCACTTACAACTAGGGAAAATTAAGATGAATTTAGAATGTTCATTCATTACCTGATGTCATTATGCTCTTTCCTTCTTCCATACTCCTCCCCACACTTGTGCACCTGCTTGGGAATGTCAGGGTGATTTTTTTTAACAGTTTTCTAGTCTTTTCACAGGACTTCTTCCTGAAGTCTCCCAGACCACAAGTGACTCTCAGGCTATAAGGATATCATATCATATCATAAGCGTTTTAAAATTCACTTAAGCCAAAAGGGAACTGGGCCTGAACAAAAAGTCCTAATCTTAGGCTACCAACTCCTGACATAATATAGACAGAAATAGATTGTAACTGTTTTGGCAGAAGGTTTTACACCTTCTTTCTGAAGTTTATGCAAAGCTTAGCAGTATACATGCCACAATAAAATACCCTCATTCTCCTCAAAAAGGAGGAGAACTCTCCTCCCAGGGTGCTTTTGATGCTCACTAGGAGGTCCATAGATGAAAGAAAGCTTTTGGCAACAAACAGCACGAGAGAAGTAGATCAAAAAATTGAACCAAACATTTACCACTGAAATGAAGAAATCTGACTTCTCTGCCTGAAAATGAATTTCTTATGATTTGTTATGCTTTTGAAAAGTTACCAGTGCTTTAGCTTTGCAGAGGATAACCTTGTTCCATGCTCTTTTTTTTTTCAGTTTTACCTTGAAAGGCAACTGAAACGTTTCCTCTCAGTACTGTAATGCTTGTTAAAATTTCGTGGTCAAATGTTTGATCAATTTTCTGAAGAAAGGAGAACAAACT